ATGGAATGCTGGAAAGCAATGTTTTCAAACCCGTTTTGAACTCCGGTTTCCGGTTTGAACGGTTCAACCGGTTCAACCGGTTTAACCGGTTAATAAAATACTATAAATATATGATTTTGCAAAAGATATCACATGTTGTTGGTGGGTTGCACCGGTAGATGACTGATCTTCTATAAGAGAGATTCAGAGTTCAAGTACCCCTGATAACATTTTAATATAATTGTGCTTTGAAAGTAAAATAAGTATATTGTAAAGCATTAAAATGACATTGTGTACAAGTGGAAAAATCGTTGTTCTATAACATGGAGATTAAGTGTTCGAATCTCAAACTTGTAATTGGTAATATGGTTAAAATTTTTCCGGTGACCCCTTTTGGTTTTTTTTTTTTTGTTTTTTTGGTTGTTTTGTTTTGTTTTGTGTTCTTGTACAATTTGTTTTTTTCAGTTCCGGTGACCCTCGGCTCTTTCCTGTTGATCTTGGTAGGGGCTCGTTGGTTTTTTCTGTTTCTTGTTCTGTTAGGTTCAGATCCGGCAGCCTTCTTTCTCCTCCGACGGATCTGAGGCGATGCGTGCGAGGGCTGCCAGATCTAACGCCCACCGCGATTCTCCTGCTGGTTCCGAGGGACTACCGTCGCTTGATCAGGTTACCGCTTCGGCATCCTAGAGCCTGACGCTATTTCTTCAAGAGTAGATAGAAAGGTTTCCTGTATAGATCGTCGACCAAAGGTCGTGGTATATCCTGAGTTGTTGGGTTGTTCGTGGTTGTTTGAGTGCTGAGTGCACCTCCCTTTAGCCTCTAGATATAAGTCTGCTATGATATTTTGTTCCAGTTGTATTTTACTATTTATCATCTTTGTAGATGCCGTACGCTGTATTTGTAATGAAACCATTCCATTATGCTCAAAAAAAAAATGTATTGCATAAAAAATTAATAAATTTTGTACTGAATTTTTATTAAATTATTAATTTTATTTGTTTATATTTTAATAAAAAATTAACATAAAAAACATTGATCAAAAAAACTATCTAGTTAGCCCTACATATTTTTCCCCTAGGGTGACACATCCAACACCCACCCAGCTTGTTCGGCGAAAGACCCAGACCTAAGCGGCTATGGGCCCTTCCTCTTATCATTTTTCACTTGAGAAAGGAGAGATAAGGAAGCAAACGACTGAAATTGGCAAGTTTTTTATTATTATTATTTTAAAAAAAATTAAGACAATTCCTAAAGCGTATACACACCCAAACGCCATACATGACCTAGGCTTGCAGCAGATGTTCCGTTGGGTATGGAGAGGAGGCCTTCAAATTCAAAGTCAACTTCATAAACCACAATTTTACCTACCACAAAAGATTGGAAGAAAATTCAGAGAAGGATCGTGAAAGCAGAGATGGATAGAGGGACAACGGGTCCCTGGAGTCATTAAGTACCCTTACTCGTCAAGCCCGTAATCCTCCCCAAAATATTTATCAACTAAACCGTTTGCCATATTTCTCAAGTCTATATTTTCATGAAACTGGAATCTTTCCATTGCATCAATTCCATCTTCTCGTTCAACAAGCTTTGGACCCTCTCCGTTTGTCATTCCCCTTAATACCTGCGCAAGGAATTAACTATGTGTTAGGAACAAAGTTTTGCCATGATGAACATAACATCAACAATAAACTTGTCCATATAGGGAAGGAAATCCGAGGCATATAAGCGTGGCAGATAGTTGAGTTTTACAGTGTGTGAAATGCCCTGGATCATTTCATTACAACAAGTCAGCAACCAAAACAACAACCAGTAAATTAGGATGGAATCAATTCGGACTGCTAATCTGCTATAATAAGTGCTTAATTGATGCAAAAATTGAGAGATAAGCTAATTACTAGATTTGCTCACCAGCTCCATAAATTGAAGTCCAACTCTTGCAGCTTCAATATCAGCAGATCTGACCAAATCAATGAAACCAGAGAGGCAACCTTTCTGAACAAGGGAAACCAAGTGCTCCACAATGAGATTTAGCTTTCCATCACCCTCTGTTGGGCCAACACAGATGTTTCCCAAGACATAGGCCACTTCCTTTCTCATATCGAAAGGGACTAAAGAAAGAAGGCATAACAATAAAGGCAGTGCTTCACTACAATATATCAGCTGCTAATGGTTGATGGAACCAGCAACCATATTTGATAGAACCCATACTGCTTCCTACAATAACAGCAAAGTTTTGAGTGAGAATTGCTGATGATAATTAATACCAAAACAATGAACATAGACCCACTACCTTCAAGACCCTGTGTTCACTCTTCAAACATTTTACTAGAACTTTTATCACATTATCTAAAATGTTTGAAAATGTTAATAATTAAAATGTAATGAAGACAATAATTCAGCAGCTTAGAAAGTGCAAGCATTTACTAGCCTGTGATCATGTCCAGGAATGAGAATTGCAGAAGTTGTGTGTGAATCACCAGCCACAGGATTACCTAAACTTCTGAGCACCTAGAGGGAAAAATATTTGTCAAATGGATTGTAGAGAGCAGGAATTGCTCATTATAAAGACAGATGTGTAATGTAACACAAAATTAATACCTAAAATAAAAACTCAAAAACATACGAAGATGAAAAGTATTTAAATTAAAATTAGATAATGGTAATAGTAATCAGAAACTATACACTAGCACAAGAACATGGTGATGGACTGATCATATATTGGCCTCTGATGTCACTGTATTGTCAAGAGAAAGAAAATAAACTTGATGTGAAATTTTTTTACTTTTGCAAGCTTCTTGCACTCTCTGGTTGTCTGAGCAGCTAACTCACGTGTAGGACACAAAGTAACTGCTCTTATGCCAGCAGTTGATGCATGCTGACATATGAATAAAGTTAATCGAATAAACCCCAAGGAAGTGAGGAACAATATCCAGTATAAATGATTAAAAGCTAAAAAATATACCTTTAAGTTTCATAAGCATGGGAGACACAAAAGCCAATGTTTTCCCAGATCCAGTAAGAGCACAAGCAAAGCACTCTCGACCCTAACATAATAATAGCATAGCAATCAAATTAAACCAAAGCAGCCAAATTCTTGTGTATTTATTGAATGTTGTTAAAAGAGAAATCAGAAAAGATGACCACTGTAGAAGAAAGCTACAAGAAGTCCATACAGATAGAAGAACAGGAATACCCTGCCTTTGAATTGGTGTTGGCTCTTTAAATCCAAGTTCAGCAAAATTGCGTACCAAATAGGATTCACATCCATGTCTGTAGAGAAACCATACAAAGTCTCATTCTAACTAATACAATTCAAACAAGCATTCTCTCAAAATTAGAAACTAGAGATACAACAAAAGACAGTTATCAAGACCATCAAATGGAAGAAACTGCAAATGCAACTACTTTTATGCATGGGGAAAGCAAGCACCTTGAACTTAAAGTCTGAAAAATCTTTAAGTGGGGATGGGACATTATTCCCAGAAACATGAACATTATATTTCTTCTGCAGAATCACATCGCGCTAATCCCATCAAGAATAACCACAATAACGAAGTTAGTATAATACAAAAACATACAATAGAAATAACATTATCAAAAACCACAATTCAAAGGCCAAACAAAAACAGCAGAAGATGAACCTCCAATTATCTGTAAAGCTCCTTCTTTTCTTTTGAAAGCTTATCTTCATCTTTTTCATTCTCTTCTTTCACCACAGGTGCTGTTTTTGAAGTCTTAAACACACTGAATCCCTTAATGATTCTATTTTCCCAGAAAATTAAACAAAATTAGCTTACATGCTTTCATCTTGTGCTAAAAAAATGAGAAAAATGAAAAAAAAAAGGGGAAAAAAAGAAGAAAAATTACCTGAAGCAACTGGCTTTTGCTTTCTCTTCTTGGTGGAAACTGAGCGTTCCTCTGGTTGGAGGCTTCCTTTATGGAACAACGGCAAGTCCTCCACTTTACTATCGGTTTCTTTCTTGTCCTACATGAAAATACAACAAACAGAATGAATTTGGACAGTTAGAGATATCGGGGAAAAAGTATTAGAAGTAGCCAAACGGAGAAAAATGGAACCTTAAAGCGATTAAAAACGCCGGCGAACTTCTTTTTATCGAAGTTTGCGCCGCCGAACAGAAAGGAGCTCCAATTTCCCGTTGGCGAAGACGAGGACCTCTTCCGAATTGGAAGCTAAGTAGACACCGGCGGC